CCTTTCAGGTCAAAAAAGTCAAAAGCAAAAACGTTACGAAGCTGCAAAACGTGAAACACTTGCAGCACTTCCTACAATGCCCTACAGGTCAAAAGGAGCTTGTTTGACTGGGTGCGGGAAAATGCACCAGTACTCGGTCAAGGACCAGGTATGTATGTATGGTCCTTGGACTGGGTGCGGGATGTAGGTTAATGTATGTTGAATGTCACATGATATGTTATAGTGTGAATTCGTTCTAGGCAGAATTTCTTGAGGCAGAATTCTGGAGCAGCCTGGGCAGACGGTTGGGCAGACGGTTGGGCTGCGTTTCGCCTGGGTTTGATCGGCCCCCCTTCGGCGCCGCACGGTCCGGTCCGATCCCCCGCAGAGGGGGAAACGGCTCCGAGAATCAACGGTGGTGTGTCCCAATGAACCGGGTCTGAGCCGGTTTCACCAGCTAATGAGGATGTTCGAACCCAAGGCCAACCAGGCCCCATCATCCACTGCTATAACTGGGAGCTTAGGATAGACTTAAGTCCTGGCGACCATGAGCAAGCCCAAGGAACCAGGCGCCAAAGCAATGGTCAAGTCTCAATTGCCCTCCTGTTGAAGAGGAATTGTCGCCTTAGGCCCTGGGCGTGATGCCCTATCAACTAGAATTGGCACTATATAATATGGAAGAGATCCGACCACGTCAACTTCCATCCAGTTCCTCCGTTGCGGAAGCCCAAGCCAAAGAGCGAACATCTGGAGAGAAGCTTTGCCAATGCGCCACTGCCACTCCCATAGCGTTGACTTCGTTCCTGGGGCTCTGAGTTGGAAGTTCTCTGGTTTGGCGGTGCCGCGACCGCCCGCGACCGCACCGACCGGGATGGATCTCTTCGCCGATGCACCGCTGCTGTGCGACATCGCCCGGCCCGGAGAGGAGAAGCAGTTCTGCGATCTCGCTGAGAAGAAGCATAGCTATTCATCCTGCCCACGTTTCACAGGTGGAAAGGCTGCACCAAGAGTCATGCTGATTCTTTTTGGTCAACATCCGATTTCCGCACCTGCAAATCGTCCTCGCTCTTAGCCTTTCGTTCACGTCTTCGACGTGGCAGGTGATGTTGCAGGTGGCGCAAGACGTCCCGTGGAGATCTGCCAGTGAGAGGTGGGACCTCCTCGCGGCACGACCACACACGACGTGCGGTGCACCGCGGCGGCGGGTCCCGGCGGACATCGTGAACACCTGGCGTTCGCTCGCGGCGTTCGAAGGGGCTGGAAGGGCGGTCGGAGTGCGACTTCGTCTACCACCCGTCTGGGCTCCGTGAAACCCGCCCGACTGGTCAACCAAACTGGGGTCCAGACCAGGAGTCAGGTCCAGGGTGAGAAGGTCCAGACCCCTTCGGGTCGCGATCACCAGGTCACCCACGTTTCGCAGGTCGACTTCCTTCGGTGCTCCCGGAGTCGATCAGACCCGATTTGAAGCTGGCGGTTGTGGTGTGTACCAGCGGCCCTCAGTTTCCCGATCAAAAGAAAGCTGTTCACATACAAAAACGTGTTTTTTGCGGAAGACGAGGTTTTGGATGGTTTGTGAGGCTCCTGGTAGTGGGGAAATCGTCATCCCAAAATGGAATGGAAGAGTCTCCTGCAACATGCTCAGAATGCGCAGCAATGACCTTTCTTTGCTGAATTCAGATACTCCATTCCATTGAGGTTTGAAATAGTGTGTGGCCCCTTAAAGCCTCTTCCATTTGAGGGCAGATTTTGAGGGTAGCTTGACAGCACTGTCAGGTGTTTTTGCCATTGGCCGGTTTGAACACCTCATTGAGCAAACACAATGAAGTGCAGACGAATTGTTTGTCATCCTCTACTTGCGGTGGTGGCTTCTCAACAGCGAATTCATCCATACCTGGCTTTCGGACGGTAGACCAGGTTTGTGTTGTTGTTGTTGCTGCTGCTGCTGCTGTTGTTGTTGTTGTGGTGGTCTTCGATTGAGTTATATGGTGTGTGTGTGTGTGTCCCATGGCCTGTAACAGTTAACCAAGATTATCACGATATTTCAGAAAGGGCTTTACTAACTAGCATCATCCACTGGGCCCAGTGTGTTTGGGATACACCCAAGATAGAGTATGGACGAAACCGTCACTGAACGACGACCAGTCATACATGCAGTGATTCTGTTTGGGCTGAAACAGCTGACCTGTGCATCCAATCCAGACACATCTAGGCCAAGCACCCCCTAAGGTCTGGGCTGAAGGATTTGGGTGAGAAGATGAGATCACTCTCCCTGGTGGATGGCACCCCCGTCCGTGTGGTCTGAACATGGTCTGAACCTTGGGGGTGTTTGGACGTCCAGGTCCGTGTGGGAGGGTAGGTGGTTTGGTTTTTGTTGGTACCATGTGACATCCACCGACCTGTTCTCCCCCCCAACATCACTTGAATTTTGCCCGGTTTGCGCAGAGAAACATGAGCCAAAGCCCGGTCTCCTTGGCCGCAGCAGTGGCAGCAAGCTGTAGCCGTTGGCCTTAGAAAAAGACGAGAAAGCTGCACCTGGTTCTGTAGTGTAAATCTTATAAGCTATCATAGACCCTTGGGTACCCCTTCAAATCGTTTGGGCGTTCCGTCTCTGAAGACTTCAGGATGCTCCAAGCGTTCAACACCTGGATGGGTCCAAGGTCCAATGCAGTCTGGGGACAGAGACGGTCTATGGTGGAAGATCCCAACCCATTCAGACACCCAAGGTAGGTTGGATCGATTAGGTGTTCAATAATGATTATGTCATGTGAGACTAGACTGACTGGTGCGACGAAAGTAGGGAATAAGGGAAGAAGTTTCGCCCCCATGCTAGAGATTCTATTGGATCCAGCCACCCTCAGCCACCCTGCTTTCGTCGCACCAGTCAGTATCTTCTGAAACTTCGACCACTTCCTCAGGTGCTCCTTGTACCGACGGACATCCGCTCCGTCCCAGCTCGTAGGTGGATCCACTGCTGGTCGAAGACGGCGGGGGGGCAGAGCGGGATGAGCTGATGCCGAGCGGGATGAGCTGGTGAATGGGGGTGTAAGCAACAAGAGACATCCGAAAAAAAATAGAAAGATTGTCTCTTGCTTGTTGTGTGCAACTCCTGTGTTGTGTGCGTATTGCTCGTCTATTTTGTCTGGTTGGCTTCAGTGGACGTTTTCGGTGGATGTGTCCATGTGCAACGGCCGGAGATCAAGCATCCGCCTGGCAGCAACTCCCAATGAAGAAAGATTCGATGCAGCTAAAGCATCCGGGGGGGGTTGTTTGCAGGTTCCTTTGGTCTTTTGCAGGGGCGAACCAGCACGCACACCTGGAAGGAAGCGGAAGGGGCTTAGCCCAGCTTAGCCCTTGTTTTGGTGGATCGGAAGTGGGCTTGGGAGTCAGCATGTAGGAATGTTGACACAACAGTCCATCCATGCACTAGCTGGGATAGCGTGATGATATGCGCAGATATTCTATTTTCTAACCATCCAAGAAAATCGATTAACATATGATCCCATTCGGCCTATGCTGGTGGTCAGAGGTGTCTCAAAAGCTCTACACCTGAGGTGCCTCAGACAGAAAGCACGCCTAGGTATCCTAGGTACATAACTGAAGGCTTAGGGTTATAGGAAGAACTTTCAGCACATTAGAAGCAAAATCTGTGTGTGTTTGTTGTTGTTCACTTCTTCGATTGGTGCCATGGTTACCCCAAGCAATTCCCATGACCCGTCGCCTTCACGCGTTCCAGAACGAGTCCGAGTCCGAGGGTCGCATGGTTTTGTCTCGCCAAACGGTGCGTTGGTCGCCTGTTGCTACCTCAGACAAATGGGCACAGATCTAGCTAGTAGCGATGCCAGGGTCGCCCCTTCCGTTCGTAGCGATCCTTGTTCCGTGCTACGAACGTCCGATCGCTCCGTTCGCTGTTTATATAGGGTCATGTTCCATGTTCGTACTTAGAGTGTCTAGGTGATCAGATGATTCTTATATACCTGAACCCGACTTCAAAGCAAAAACAGGTATACGACATATGACTGTACCCTTGGTCTTTTTAGAGGTACGACTGGGGTCATCCAATGGGTCATCTGAGACATCTGCTATTAACTGGGTGAATCCCGTGGCATGGGAAAAGATTTGTGGGTTTCTTCCCTGGTTCCTGGAGAGCTATAGGTGCAACTATGACTATGGCACAGCTGGAGGTTCCTCTCCATGTTCCTGGTCTTCCAGGTCAAATGGATCCGCCTGGAGGTTCCTCTTGTTCCCAGGCGCTGCAGCTTCTGGATCGGCTCTTGCACCCTGTGCCCCAGCTGCGTCCCACGCCCATGGAGGCAGGGCGAAAACGGGTGGGTGTCGACATGGCTTCCAGGTAATCGAGATGATCGGTTTGGGCGGTGGAGGGCGGTTGGTGACTTGACATGGAAAACAAGGATTCTGAAGGACGCATACTAGTAGCAACAAGGACGCTAGGTGCTTGGTGGAGGCCATCGCGACCGCTACGGAACAAGAAGCGACCGCTACGCGACCGCTGGGAGGAGCCCAAAGTCCCCAAAGCTGAATGGACAGCAGACCTGGGGCATACCTGAACTTCCATGTGATGGGCAGACCTGGAGCGTAATCCAAACAGGAGCATCACACCTGCCCTTGTGCGATTCGGACGGATTTCATCTGTGCCAGGGGCATCCTGGTTTTTTGAAGCAAGAACGAAAGAAAAACCCAAGGGTTGATTTTTCCCTAGATCACCCGGCACATCCAGCCCATGTGTCTACCTAATGTCAGGATATCTGTGGCAGAACGCGGCCACCAAAACACAAATTGACATCAGTCAATCTGCCACACCATGTGTTTGCCAACCAAGATCCATATAAATATACAAATAACCTATATAACCTATACACGTGTTGGCACCCGTTTTGTCTTCACCTTCCTTCTCGGTCGCCGCGTCGCCGCGTCCGCACAGGTCCTGTCAGCTCTGGCACCACGTCCGGTCGTTCCCAACGGGCCGGTCCGGTCGGATCGCATCCCGTGGGTCGACTCCGTGGATGTGGTTTCGGATCGAAGCCCTAGGCTTCCAAGAAGCATTTCATGGGCTGTAATCCCGAATCAACGTTTCGGATTTTACTTTACAAGAACCGCATCGTTCCCATGGTTTTTCATGGTCGAACGGAAGTCGAACGGGCTAGGGGTTCTGGGATCTGAAGTGCCAAAGACTCAGGGTCTCCTACGAGTTGCGCCCGTTGCACCCGTTAAGCGATCGGTCCAGCCTCAGTGTTGGTGTTCTGACCCTCCGAGTTGTACTGAGAAGTACGTGGCATGCCACGGTTTCTGGGACACAGGTAGATGAAGCACCTGGAGGATCCAGGTATCAGTGTTTTTGTATCGAATATGATACAGTCATGTGCCATGTTTGGAGTACCTGAGCTCTTTCTGGGGAGTCCAGGTAGATGAACATCAAGCGATATGGGATAGTTTACGTGCATCGGCGACCATCTCAGGATCTCTCTGGGAAAGAAGAACCATCGATCTGTCTCGCACTGGCGGACAGAGCAGGGTTGGTGGTACATCTTCCAGTGGCTCCGCGTCTAGAGGATAGATGTTGCATGGTTTTGAAGTTCCAAGTTTGATCCCAAGTTTGACACTCATGGTTTTGATCCCTCAGACATGATCGCCGCTTCAAAAGGCAGAATGCCTTGCGTCCAGGCTTGAACCGTGGCTCTCCAGCTGTGAGAGAAGGTTCATATGGCGGTCAAAACCAGGTACCTTTTTTGACCTACCTAGGTCACCGTCATTCGCTACATGGTGGAGTTTTGACCCTTTCCTATATATCATGTACCGTGTTCATCTCGTTTTGCCCGGAGGTTTGTCTCAACGACCTGCAACCAAGGCGAAGCGGAGATGGTGCAAGCCATGTCTTCGTGTGGTTCCAAGCTGGGCGAATGAAACGACGTGTCGGCGCCGGCCGAGGCGCCGGCCGAGGCTGGGAGAGTGTCCGGTCCTCACCCAGTTCTACTGCGCACGTTGCGAAGCATCTGAACACGCACATCGTGCCCAGAAAAAAAAAGAGAGAAATCGATGTAAAAGGCTTCACCCCCCTGGGAGATCTGTACGTCTATAGTGCAATGAGGTGACGGGTCCGCTCTTGTCGGGTCCGTTTCGCGTTTCGTAGCCTGCGTCCCGAGGCGCCGGCGATCGAAGGAAAAGACCACGGTCTCGCAGGTTGGGAGCGGTTTCGTGTTCGGTCGACATGTCCGACAGACTTCGAAACTCGACGCCTTTCCAACGGAGGTTGAATGACCCGAACTAGACTATCCCAGTTGGGCACCCCAGGTTACGGGTCCTAGTTCAGGTCACGTTCCACCTCTCTTGGTTGGTCCGGGGCGAACCGCGAAATCAGGAGCGACCAGTTGGGTGCATGAACGAGTCGGGGTCGTTGAGTCGGGGTCGTTTGGGGAGACGAAGACGGCAGCAAGCAGCAGGCTGCGTGCTGCGTCCAGTGTTCCAAGGGATGTCCGGTGGGAGCCGGGGGATGGCCAACCGTTGGAGGAACGTGTTTTCAAACAACGATTCGTTGGGCAACGACTAAAACACATCTAAAAACCCTTCACTCGTTTGACCCTTCCCTGCTAATTAGTTCCTTAACGTTCTCTAAATCGATCACCAGGTGGTTTGGTGGTCTTCCTTGTTTTGGCGTCCGGTGGGAGCTGGGGTAGTGACTGGTGAGTGTGGGAGGTGTGGGAAGCTGCTACAACGCAGCGACTCCTCCTGCCACTGTCCCATCGATCAGGCCATGTCCAAGTCGCCTATTTGCCCGGCCAGCCCCAGTGAACGTGAGACGCGAGGTGGAGAGGTTGGAGGCCATTGGTATTAGGTTGGGTTGGGTTGGGTTGGAGGCCAACTGCTGTTAGGTTGGAGGCCGTTGGCCATTCCTCTTTAGGTTGGCGGCCACTGCTGATGATGTCTTCTCTTTCTTATGTCCTTCTTTCTTTGTTTGATGATTCATTTCTCCTTAGCTTGGAGGCCATTGGTTGAGACGGATGCTGAAGGACCTACCCTCATCTCCTTCAGCATCCTTCGGCCATGATCAGGTGACCAGTGGATAGGTAGATACAAGTAGATCGATATGTAGGCAATCAATAGATTAGATGATGGCTATTTGGAGTGCTTCGGGCATGTCCTTTCACCTCTTGTTGCATATACAGTTCTTTTAAAAAGCGTCTACAGCCTCTCGCCGTTTGGTCCAAGCCCGAGCCCCCAACGCCCACACGCCGGCGTCGCATCCGCTCGTCGCTGTGCGCGTCCGCCACGGCCACCGAGGTGTGCCTTCCGTGGATCTCACACCGCCTCCGAAGGAAGAAGCACCGCCCTCCGTGCGGGGGCCCAGGTCGAGTTCGCTTCGCTTCACGCGTTCGGTGCGCGCGAAAAGCAGCAGCGGTGCCCGGGCGGTGGTCCATGAAGCCCTTTTCTATTCTCTGGGGAGGTTGGGGAGTGTTCGTGAAGAACAGGTTCATTGTGGGTCCCGGTAGGAATGCTTCAATTGGCCACTTTGGGGGTGGACATTGAAAAAGGTGTGTGAAGTTCTCACAGAAGAAAAAGTGATTTCATGAAATTCAAGAAATCCAAGAACCCGTTTTTTGGCAGAAAATTGAGTTATTGTCACAGGGCATGTCTTTTTTCTGCGGTCTTCGTTTCTGTTGGTGAGGCTTATTGTCAATTAAGCCAAGTAATTCAAGCGATGTTCATTATCTAACTGGTGCGCATTCTTGTTTGAATGCGTTTGGTGTGAAATTTCATGTGTGGCTTGTTTCAAGTGTGTTGTTGCAGCTGAGCCGACAGAAATGAAGTACGTGTGATGGGTTTTTCAGTCGCTGAGGTTGCCGCCGATCATGAGGGGGCAACTTCTTTAGATACACTTTTAGATACACCATGATACACCGCCACACTGTTTGGGGTCTCTTGCCGGGAGGATTTTTCTTGAACTAGTGAGCCTCCCAACGACCTCGTGGTTGCCTGCCTGGAGGAACTGGGAGACCACTCCGTAGAAAGAATCGGTGGACCGAGTTCACCTTTGATCTTCGGAGCTATCGGTTTTGCGGGGAACGCCATCCCACGCAACCAGGAGTCCATTTTCATGTGTCCATTCTAAAGAGTTTTCCCGGCAGTATGACGCAGCCCGAAGAGATCCGGCTTGGTGAGACTTCGCAGCGGGACCTCTGTCAGGACCTTTGCCAGGTCGAGACCCCACCGCCGGTTCCGCTGCCCTTTGCTTCCTTGCAGATGGCTGAGGCCGATGGCTGTGGTAGGGGCCAAAAGTCAAGTGGAACCGGTCCTTGAAACAATAGGAAAAACGCAGACTCCTTCAGAGATAGTGATTGCTGATTGAGAGTTGTCCTTCCGATATATGTTTCAGGATGTGAACCCTCGATTCGGTTGCACATGTGTTGAGTTCTGGACAAGTATAACCCAGACCAGATCATCCTTTAGATCTTCAAACGACCTACAGTAAATTCTTGGCTGAGGCATTTATCAACACGTCTTCGAGATGTTTGGAAGGAAAAGAACGCCCTTTGGACCTCAAGACGATGGTTCTTACCATGGTTTGACCGGTTTCTGCCGCTGTCACAACCGGAAGAGGGACCGTTCACGGACCGCCGCTCGCGGAGTCAGTGCGTCGACCCCCTTAGAGTCCGAACACGGGGAGGGGGTGTGTTGGTCGGTGTCTCTCCACGCGAAGAAGGTCGTTGTGTGTTGTCGTTTTTGTTTTTGTGGTTTTTGGGTCATGTTCTCTGTACGGGTTCAGAGGTTCGATGGCACGTCTGGGCCCCCAGTCGGTCGGGTGGTTTAGGACTGGACCCCCAGACCTCGGACATGTAGGGGTGCCAGTGCCATCGAACCTCTGAAACCACTGTAACCCAGACACGACCTAGCTGGGACTGCCGATTCGGACTGCCGAGAGTTCCGGCCAGGGGTGGTGCCAGAGGGGTCAAGGTAGGGGCGGTATATATGGCAGTCCCAGTCGTCGTGTTTGGGTAATAAGTCATTTGGAGTACTCCCAGGGTCGGACCTTGGGCGTTCTTCGCACCCGGACCCGCTCGATCGCAGGCGGCCTTGCAACGGATGGCGTCCGAGGCAGGTGGGCCGGGCCGGTCGCAGCGAGATGGACGGGGGGTGGAAGGAGTTTGGGGGGGGAGCTCCAAGATTTGGATCTGCGAGAAGGCCCCAATGTTGGCAATCTTCTAGGCTGCGGCATGACATATCATGAGATGTGTTGCTTTGTGGTCTTTGATCAATAAGTGTTTGATGGATGAAACTCAAAGATGATCTCTATATAGACAACAAATATCCTCGGCTCTTCAAGACGTCCAGTCCACTTGGAAAGAAGGGCCGTTCTTTTCGTTGGTGTCAGAAGGGGTTTGGTTCAACGAGATCCCCCCTACTTGGGGTCACAAAACGGGTGGTTTGCCTCGTCCCATCCAGGGGCTGTGGAGTAGCTGGGCACTCCGGACTTCCTCCGTTCGTTTCGGCATTTTGAGCGACATGTGACTCCTGGTACTTTGGGATCCCGCCTGACCTCTCCTCCGATCGGATCCTTCGGCTCGGACCGACCGAACCGCGCAGCGCGCGGACTCCGCTCAGCGGAGCGGAGCGACGGTCGCGGAGCGACGAGCGGTCGCGGAGCTCGGTGGCGTCCCGCCCAATGGCGATCGTGACGGTCCAAAGCATGGCCGGGGCAACGATGCTGGCGCCCTTGGCGATCGAACAAGGCGGGCGCGCGCGAGCGATTGGCTGGGCTGGGGGGGGTCGGAAACGAAGGCGAGACTGGGCTGACGGAGCCGTTCTGGCTGGGAGGGAGAGAAGGAGAGGACAATCCCCTGAAAAGCGGAGAGGATGCAAACAAGAAGCTTTGATACCAGCACCATTGAAAGGATGGTCTTTAGACACCCCTGACTATGTGTTCCAATAAAACTATTCAAACTGGGTGTTGCTGACGGCAAATCGGCGATGTTTGCTTTTGGCCTTGGATGGCGCTGCCGCGCCGCAGTGTATGATGTTGTGTATCGAGAATCGTTTGGCTTCATGGGTTCTTTTTTGGATTCTGCTGGTTCGCCGCTTTCGTGCGTCTTGGAATCCGTCTCGAGCAACGGAGTTCACAGCACGGCGCCCGCAGACCGCTGCGAGCAGCGCCGCGACGAAGTAGCGCAGACGTCTAACCGAGCGGAGGGAAGTACCTGGACCTTCACGAGTCGGGTGCGAAAAATGGAGAATCACAAGTAGTGCATCCCAAACACTCCAAATATGCCATATATGCCTACATTGACCCCTCAAAACCACCCCAATGTAGACATATATGGCATATATGGAGCGTCTGGGGTAGTGTAGACTCCTAGGTGATGCCGGTGCCAACCCCTACCTTACTTCACCGTGCATGCGCACGTGCCGGTGCGCAACAGGTGCTCTCGTCTTCATCTTTGAGCCCTTTCAGGGTGGACCCTGCTCCAAGAAAACCTTCCAGGGGATCGTCTAGCCCCAAGGAGGCTGGAGGTCTTAGCTCATCCATGAGCCACACCATGTCCACATGCCAAGATCCTTTCAACCACCATTGGTTCTTTGTCAACCTTACCAAAACAACGCTTGCTTTGCTTTGCTTTGCCAGACAGGAAAAAACCGCACAAACCTCGATTGGTTCCAACCTCCAACCCCACCCCAGGGGCCCTCCGATGGTGTTTCGATGTCGTGAGGAGAAAAAACGATCACTCACACCGTTCCCCCCCGACCGGCCAGCCGGCCGCGGGAACGGCCAGGAGTCGCCGAGTTGAAGCGGCACTTGAGGGCCTTGCCACAATGCGCTGAAGGCCAGGTCCGAATGACCTGCATTTTGGATTTGTTCCATCATTTGGTAAAGATGCCCGTGAGAGCGTCTCACATTCTACCGGGCCGGGCGTATGCCTGGGGTAGTTTTGTCTGTCGTAAGTGGTGCGCTGGGCGCATCCACTGACTTCATTACCTCCCCTGTCTTGTCCCTCTGGGCCCACCCTTCTCTTCTATGTAGAAACAGTGCATATATTCCAGTTATGACTAGTTCTATATCTCAACTGCCTGGCTCATGCCAGGCAGAAACTCGTTTTTTAGTTGGCATTTTGCCACTAAACAGTGTTATTACATGCTTAACTTTCGTACTTGTCAGATAATAAGTCCTAACTGCACTTAGATTGCGGACTAGTTTGTTTCTAGCTAGAATTCAATCTAGGGAAGATGACTCCAGCGAGTTGTTAGAACTTGAAAGATGTGTAGGTTAGATTATGTACATGTACAACTGTAGTGACAAATCGCTTACTCAGGTGCAATGTTATAAATGTCATGTGGATAGCATTTTTGCATCAAGCGAGGATGGAGGGGGGCAAAGACCCTGCAACAGAGGCCCGCCTCAAGGCTGAGGCAGAGGCCGCTGCTAATAAGAAACGGGAAGATGAAGCAATGGCGGAGCTCGAGCCTAAGAAGAAGGCTGCTCTTGAAGCACCGATTGGCGTGCTTGGGGTAGATCCTGGAGAACGGGGCTACATTCCAACGTTTGCCGATCGCTGCACGCTACATGATGTGGGCGTCGAGAGCTACTTGAAGTCTGCCTTCATTGAATCGAAGGTGACTGCCTGGCTTGTAACAGTGGCAGTCCAACGAAGAGGCTGTTACAAGTCACTGATATGGATTCTGGACGCAGAATCCACGTACCTGCATGGTTGTGGCGTTGACAAGCTTTCACTCCAATCTTCTCGTAAAGGGCTAGTGAGTTCTGCAGATGCGCACGGACCGCCGTCATCTTGTCGATCGATCGCTCGATGGTTCCTTTAGCGTTGATGGCCTTGCTGAACTTGAGGGACCTCTTCTTCCTTTCTAGACCTCCATACCTGTACCCTTAGGAATTGGAACCCTAGGCCGGCGTGTGGCACCGCTTTCAGTTCAGTACACCCTATCCTAAGTGTGTGTGTGTGTGTGTTAACACCTGTTTCCAAGGTTTGTGCCTAGTAAGGTTGCCTGCCGTAGATCTCACTAGAAGGATGGATGCTACTAGTTGCTCCTGGCCTTGCTACTAGGAACCAAACCAAAATCAAAAACAGCGCGAGCAAAAAAAGAGGCAGGGGCTACATGCTGACAAATTTGTCGGATCCCACAACAGTGCAATACAGGTCTCAGATGTACAATCATTGATCAGGAGGTTGTATAGATTGCCAATTGCAGAACCTTCAGGCACTGTGGCATATACGAGGTCAAGAGGAGTGCAATCAGGCCTCTTCTACCTTGTCCAGAGCGTGGAGGACATGCTTACAGCATTCTGTAGTCTGAGGGCTGAGTTATCAACAGGCCATTGGAGTCTACAGGCTCTTGGTACGTTGGCGGATGATAGCTGCGAAGGTGGCTCATGGGATTCAGCCTCAGATTTCAACGAGTCAAGGCAACACTCGTCGAAGCTTACTGGTCTTGAAATAGATTTGGAGAGGCTGGTTGTTCATGCAAGTACCAGACCTGATATCGGTGGGGACGCTCACCGACGTACCTGCAACAACTTGTTTAACGTTTGATCGAAGGCCTCCAGCCGTCCAGTCCAAAAAACATTGTTATAACACCTTCAAATCCGCGGACCCATCACCTTTCCTTTTGCGCTTTTCTCAGTCAAGGTCTAATGCGTATAAAGTGGGACTTCATTCTGATCCTAGCTCTTGCGAGCAACCATCTAAGTGTGCGTCACCCTCCGTTTCCAGGAGTTTAAATTCTTCTTTTGGTGCGCAAGGGGCATGGCAGCTGTTTCCCTAGCCATGCCAACGAAGCTGTGGGATTCAGCCGGAAGGGAATGTGGATGCACATTCCTGTACCTGCAACTGAAACTTTTGGCCAAGCTTTTCCACTCCTCTGTCTGCTTCCATGGTGGTTTGCATGATACTCCCCACAAACCCTTTTCCTACCGCTGAGCTTGCCACCGCCGCGCTCTGCAGTCACGCGCAACCAGTGTTTTCAACCATTCAAGTGAGCTGACTCCACCCCCTTTCTGTTCCATCATTCTTTTTCGCGTGGAATTGAGTTGACTGAAAACCCTTTGTCTAACTCTGTGTGTGTGTGCGTGTGCTCCTTTGGTGTTCTTTTTGACCCCTCATTCTTCTAGCTCGTTGACTTTTAAAAGCCACGCCAAAGCCCAAGAATTGAAGCAATGCCAGCGGATCATGTGTGTCGAAAACAAGAAAAAGTCCTTCCTTCACAGAAGCGCTGCTGGGGGCAGGCCACGCAACCCCACGAAAACCCCACGGAACCCCAGGCCCCACAGCTGGACCGTGAAGCCTTCGAAGGCGGACCAGCGAGAACGCAACCAAACCAAACCCTCACAAAAGGAACATGGAACCTGAGCATTGACTCAGTGCGTGTCTTTTTGTTTCCATGTGGTACATGTTTGGGAGGCCCCAACCCAAGCAAACGAAGTTTCTCATATGTGAAGAAAACGGAATTCACTCCTTTGGAACTCGTCTTGAAAGAGATTCCCCCCCGGTCAGACCCTCCAGGAATTACCAAGAAGAGAATAGACCTGTCAAATCCCAGTGGGAATCTCTCGCCATTCGTTTAGACCATCCATGCGCGGAATAGTCACATACATGTTATGACCCCTTTATGACCCATCCATATGAGGTAACTATTTGGCATCGTTACATGGATGGTCATGGCATACATATAGTAGAATTTATTAGCATAACGTCATAGCATGACTATATGTTATAACTATACCATGATAACATGGCATAACGTAATAGGCTAGAAATTCATATGCTGGCATAACGTCTGGGAGTGCTTCCTCTTTCAGCTCCTTCGTTCGCCCCCTCTCTGGTGGCCTCAGGGGATTTGAGCCTCCTCCTCGAGGGCGAAGTCCTCACCGCGGCGTCGCCGCTGAGCGGTGCCGGGTCGTCAACTCGCACGACGGGTCGAGGAGCGTCGAAGCGAGAAGCCTCCGCGTCGTCGAAGCGGTGCGGCGGTGCGACCGTTCTTTTTGGCAAATAGGGTCATTGAGGTGATATGAGGTGATGTTTATATAGAAATCATAGAGCGTCAGCGTCTATAGACCATCGCAATCATGACATTCTTGTGGAATGTCCGTGACCGTTCGAAAAATCCTCTTTGGATGACTAAGAAGCTCCCAGCTTCTTCAGTTCGTGACCCGAACTGAAAAAGGGGCTGCCGAACGGGAATGAACGTGACCCGAACGGGAACGAACGTGGATCTCAAGTTCGGTCACTTTGAGTCAGGTCCCGCATAGCCCGCCCGCTCCCATCGTTCTGTGTGGCAACGATTCCCCACATGCCTTGGGGGTGGTTCTCTCAACAGAGGAAAGACATGTGGTTCAACTGAACTCATGTGAACTCATGTTCATGCTGGATAGGACAATCGATCTCCGTGGGGCGTTGATCGGCGCGTGTTCTTTCTCCAATGAGTGTGGTAGAAACTTGGAACGAGGCCATCCCGAAAGAATTCACAGAGGCCCTCTTCCGAAATGCCCCGTTTTGAAAGTGGAGAGAGATTGTGGACAAGACTTGTTCTGGAGTCTTTGCAGAAGGCATTGTCTAAATGATGTACGTTTGGGCTATCGCAAGAGTTGATGAATAAACAGTCCCCTGTTTGCCAAAAATGCCTTCTATCAAAGCAGGAATATGCCTACGTTCTGGGTTTGTATGCCAAAACGCTTTAAATTGCTCTAAGATGTCCTTCCAGGTTTCAGAACTCAGTGACCAGTTTCCGCTTCGCTTCGCTTCAGGTGGCAGTTGGGAGGATCCCTTGCTGATCACCGCCTTGGTCACGGAGCAGACCTACCAGGTGAAGAGCGTCCAAAAGTGGCGGGTTCAAAAGACCAGGGACCGAAAAAACGACCCACCGGCGCATCGTTTTGCCTCTTGGCCTCTTGATGCATCCTTTAGACCTCCTTTAGGCCCGGGACGGGTGGGCTTCTGGTTGAAGGGGCCGCCACTGGCAGGGACCCAATCCATCAGCTTTCATTGCTCCAGGAGCGGAAACGCCCCCCTTGCTTTCGGCGCCCGATCGCTCACAGAACGCCCCAAGCTGGTGTGAAATCCATCCCCCCCATACGTTCAGCGCCGAACGCCGGGTCGCCACGAGCGAACACCTGGCTGTTGACGTGGTGGCTGTGTTTACATGGGTGTGGAGAACACAATGGTGGTCTCCATGGGAGAGGACATGGGATTGTGACATTTACACGGGATGTGGATTGAAATCCGGCCAATCTGAACACTGTTGGTGTGTGCGCTGACGGCCAAATCAGACACTCCTTCTGTTGGGCAAACCAAATCCGTTGGGCCGTAAGTAGTAAGGAATCGTCTGGACCACCCTCGTTCGATCGGTGTGAGTTCTTTGGAACCAGCTGGCTACCAGCGAGAGTGGTCTGACTGGATTCGCTGGGTTTTTGATCTGATGAAATCTATGGCTTCATCGTCCTTTGGGCGGGTCAAAAGAGCTTGGCTTCCATAGGAACTCAGCCCTTTCACTGTCACCCAAATGTCCACCTATGTCTTCACCTTCAAAAGTGCATTAGAAGCAGGGTCTAAAATTTGCAACCGGTAGAGGTTGCAGAAGTGACATGCTCACGTCCCTCAAGAAGTCATGCCCCCACACGTCCTTCCCTTCCCCATCCTCCACGTTCGACTCACCTCGTGCACGACGTTTGCCTTACCTCCGCTGTTGAAAAGACCTGACGTACTCGTTCGACCACGTACTCGACCTGACTTCAATGTTCGACGACGTACTCGACCTGACTTCAACTCGACCTCCTTCAGGTCGTGGCTTGGGGTCAGCACACTCTCTCCGCCTCCTGGAGGCGACACGGCGACACGGCGTCGTCGCCTTCGGTTCCGCGGCTTCGGTGCTCACGGACGAGCCGCTGTTCGGTTCGTTGCTTTCAGGCTGGGTCGAAAGAGGCGACCGTTCGGCCCCTTTGGTTTTAGTTTGGATCCATTTCTGAGGTGACATTTTTGATGGACCTCTGGGTGAGTGTCAAGGTTGATGGGGGGTGATCGTTCTTCACGAAGAAGCACTGTTTCTCTGGCTTTGCTTGCAAGTGTCAAGCAGCAAAACCAGACTGACCGTCTCTGACCGTCTGAGACAGACCACCCGGCACAGCACGGGTCACTACAGCACGGTACCTTCTCACCCTCCTTCTCATCCGCCACAGGAGGGTGTCTCCGCAGCTGACTTCTGGCGTGCTCAGTGTGACCTCCGGGATGGGCAACGCCTTTGCGGCGCGGAAATCGGGTGGCCAGGTCGTTCCTGGGCGTTGAGACCTCTCCGGTGGCCGGGATCGTTGCGACGAAGACGGCGTTCACGCCGGGTGTCTGAAGTGATCCAAAAAGGCCAGACCACCGTGTGGTCGGCAGAAGGGAACCAGCACAGTGACAGGTCTCTCCGGTGGATGTTGTGGGTCGTCTAGACGACTGGAAGATTGGAAGTCATGGTCACCATGCTGAATTGCGATACCACATCAAGTCGTGGGTGTCAAACTTGCAGAGTCGACGACGGAAGGCTCGTGTGCTTGGCGGTGTGGCGTTACGACCAGTCGGGCACAGGCGTGTGGTTGACGTGTTTTGTTCCTTTTGCGTCTCTAGCGGTGGTCAACACATGATCCAACTCAGGTTTGCTGGGGCTCCGAGAGTGATCTTGGCCAGGAAAAGACTTCCGCGGCTGGAGGGCGTTGATGCGCTTGGTTGGGGAGAAAGAGCTGTATATAGGATTCAAACAGTCTTGAAGAGAGAGAGAGAGAGAGAGTCCCATTGTATAATCGTGGTGATGACGTTTGTTTGGGACGTGATGGTATTGTAGCTGGGCTTCAGCTGAAGCCTTGAAAAGCATTTCTCCCACTGTCAAAGAAATCGAACCTTCAAAGGAACCAGCAGGACTAGTGCTTCTGGAGATAGGGAAATCATCGGGAAATCCATGGAAACCCCATTGCCATGTTAGTCTACTTGTCCTTCCCAGGGAGATCTTCAGCGGAATTTTGCTATTGTTTATGAGAGACATTGAGAAACCTTCAAAACAAGGTATGAAGAACATGAGAGATGACCCGCCTTTCATCTTAAGAATTTGCAAACCCCCCCTTCGGAAGCCTGGTAATTTGTTGTATGTGTGTCTCTCCCAAAAGCGAGGGCACCCTACGCACATAGACTTGTTTTACTTGTTGGAAACCCGTCCTTACTTCCTAAAGGACAGCAATACCACCCCGCCAAGCTGAAGTCTTCGTCAAGAAGGTGGGAAGTGATGGCGGTGTCATCAGATGAGACAAGGAGTTTTTGGCAGTCAGCCGTTATGGGGGTTGGTAACCCATCACACAAAAATCCCTGGTACGGTACACCTGGCTGAACCCGGAAACCGACCAAAGGAAAAGGGTTCGGTTGACCGGGTGTTGTAGTCTAAGAACCTGAGTAAAACAATGGATGTTTGGTAAAGAGCGTTAAGTTGATGGTGGTTGGAATCCCAACATCTTGGGTATCTCAAGGTGACAGTGAAGATGAAAGCCCACTACTGAACTGCGAGATGCCAGAGTGTCTTGGCTGTGGGCTGTCCAAGCGTTGTGGATGGTGAACTGATGGGGTGGTCCAAAATGACATCGGATCCCTTGAAGGAAAGGAAATTCCCGGAACTCAGGTCCCCTAGGCAGGCCATTAATTTTTACAGTCTTTGTCCAAAAGGCTTCATGAGCCAGAATGTCTGAGGACCTTCATGTTGGGTTTGGAAACCTTCCCTTCTCCCTTCTTTGTATGCACATGTTGTTCATGCAAGACACTCTCGGATGCTGTCAATAGTGAATCTTCCATAGCATCCAGACCCTGCCACGTCTTCTTGTTGCGACCCGGGTTGCCTTGGCCCCAGCCCCGAGAGTCTCGGTTTGCCACCCGGGGCGTACCGAAAAGAAACTGGATCATGACCTTCTAAAGACAGGTACAACATGCATGGTATGACTGTACCCATTTTCCGACGTACTGACTCCAGACTCCAGGTTTTGAGCAGCCTCCAAAGAACCGCAAAGAAAATGGGAATATGACCCGGACAAAAAACTGTATGCAGATCTGTACCCATTCTTTCCACCAAGAAGGCGTTGAGGTCTACCTTTTTGCAGCTTCAAAGATGTCCTACCGAACCGCAAGCGCCTTCGACACTCAAGGCTCCAAGAAGGCGTGGAAGCGGTCTACGGCAACCGCTCCGCCTTCGTGGCCATCAAGCAGGGTGGACAGGCGCCGGAGTCGCGTCGCCATCGGAGTCGCCCAGCTCCGGGAGTGTGACGGGAGTGTGTGGCATAGGGCGTATGAGTTCTTAGATTGTGATTTTTGTTCTCCACCCCCCCCTAGATGTTTGTTTGTTCCTAGATTTCTAGGGAAACTTCACATTTAGTTAGGCATAGGTTCTGGTTTTTTCTCAGGTGGATTGCAGATGTTCCCAGAACTGGGTCCCCGGGTCCGGAGGTTCCATATTTTGGGTCCTGTTCCCTTAAGCTTGAAGCGGAGGGTATACGGGGGATGGCCTGACCGCCCTTGGTTGGTTGAGGGGATAGGGGATACTCAACCGGTAGTGAACTGGTAGTTCAAACGGTACCCAACTGACCCCTTGATTCCCAAAAGGACTATCACTGACCAGGGCTTTGTTTTGACCCAATACGTACATGTTGGTTCGGTTCTACAGTGGGGAACCCCCTTAAAGCATGCTGAGAATGGAAGAAGCGAGCATGATAGATCACGACCCATCCAAGGTTCTTCTAGGATTTCTTTGGGTTTATGTAGTGTAATATAGTAGGTTGCTGCTTGGGTGAATCGTTTCACGCCGGGTTCCGGCACCCGCGCAGCTCGGCGACCGATGGTCGACGCGGCACCATCGACGCTCCACCGCTGTGTTTGCGAAGAACCAACACACCGAGCCTTACAAGCTTGAGGTGACGAGAACAGGAGTGCATTTGTGGCTCCTCAAGGTGGTTCTTCTGTTTGGCAGCCTTACATGGTGCATTTGTTTTGGTGCACATCATACACTTCACACATATGAAGAAAGCGAGATGCACCATGTACTCCATACCTGACCTGGAGTCGACCCGCGAGCACTGAAGGCAAATGGGTACAAGTGGTTTCAGATCATGTAGACAGGGTACTGGGTCAGTCGGGTCCAGGTACAGACTCTATAGACCCTCCAGGCTTCTCAGGGCTAAAAATTGCTAAGAAAGATATTAGGTTGGAGGCCATCGCTGGGGTGGAGGCCGCTTCAAAAGACTTCCAGTCTTCAAAAAGGCTTGCGTTGCTGGTCCCTTTTTCGGTCTCGTGTCTCGGGCCCGTGAGGCACTCGCCTGGGGAGCACCGCGCCAGGGCGGACGCTGGGCGAGGGAGGGTGTGGATCGCGTGGATCGCGTGGCGGATCCCCTGCAGGTCATTCATACCCAGCAAGTAGGTGGATCCCCTGCAGGTCATTCACCTTTTTGGGGGGGCCGGAAGTGCTGCAAAGGTGGACCAGTGGCCCCGCTTCAACTTCTCGAAGAAGTCAAGTTCGGTGAAACCCGTAAGTTTCCAGGGAAACAGAGGGTGTCAGGATTGGAGTGTCCCACTGGAATTGCAGGTCACAGGAGGTGGAACCAATGGATGCGCCAGCGAGGTCCCCAGAGTCGGGACGCCGTCGGGTGCGCCGCTGACCTGTGCAGACACAGTGGTGCGCCAGGGGTAGTACTGTGGCGTAGCCACGGCCTCAGACGACCTCAGATGAGTGGCGTCTTCTGCGCTCTTTAAGCACCGGCCAATTCCTCAGAGATTGGACGTTCAACTATGTCTTGGAATGATACCAGGACCATTCAAAGATGCTTTCAGAAGCTATTTTGCCTTTGCTAATGTGTGCATATCACTACCCGCAGAAAAACCTGTGTTTCTGCAATCTACACCACTCCATCCCCCATGGCTACCCCTTCTGAAAATAGATATCCCACAGACTTTGGGATGTACCAATAGGGAACAAGCACATCAGCTCAAAAGAGGAGAACAACAGAACAAGAGCATACCGTCAGGACCATCCGACCATCCTCGGTGTCACTGGGACTACCCTGCACCACGTCCACGACACATTTAGCTCTGGGATGGTTCAGGTATCCCCCAGGTCTGCTGTCCATTCAGCTTTGGGGACTTTGGGCTCCTCCCGTCGCAGTCGAACCACGCGACGCGTCCAGCTTCGTCCCGTTGGCCCACTGGGTGACCGACCAGGTCGCAAGTGGATCAAAGCGTTGCCCTGGTCCACTGATCCCAAAAAAGATCCGACGGGATGTGTGATTTGGTCCGACCCCGTTGGCCCTTCTGACGTGCGGTCGAAAGAAAAGACGGATTTTCAGCGTCTGGGTGGGCCGGATCAAAGTGTCCCCAAAGAAGATGAATGATTAAATGGATCCCTAAGAATCCGGACCCTCAAACACATAGGGTTTTGAGGGCCCGGACCCCTGCGAAGAGGTCGGTTCCGACCCCTGCCATGGAGAGCCCAAGGATTCTTAGGGATTTCACCCAAAACGTTCCAGAGGTTGAATGACCCGAACGTTCGACTATCCCAGTTCGCTACCCCAGGTGACGGGATTTACGGTCACTGGCTACCTCTCTTGGTTGGGTCACGTTTCTTCCGAACGGGATGGTCGCTTCGTTCGGAAGACGCCTCAGACGCCTCAGACGCCTCACGCCTCTGTCGAACATGTCTGAGGAGAGATTCCTGAGTCGATCGCGCACCACCTGTGGCTCGACTGATCCGATCCCAACAAACGGCGTTCTACCAGCAGCTCCATGTCGGCTGCAGAACGGTTCCGAAGGGAGGACGAAATGGGGGTGCCCGAAACGCCCATATCCACAGCCCCTGGATGAGAATCAAAAGCTTTGGAACAGCTGGTCTTCGACTTCCCAACATCGCCCAAAGATGTCCAAGTCTCGCTTGCCAGGAGTGGAACTCCCAAGCAACGAGACATAACGACGTTCCAACGAGAACCAGACGACCCCCCCGTCGACCACGGAACCAACACCACCGATGTGACTTGGACGATTGGCTCCGTTTTCCACGGATTGCTCCGTTTTTTTTCCATCCAGGCAAACCCCGCCTTTTCGTTGGTAACCAGTGGGACCAAAAGCCGTTACACAACTGGGATCCACTCGGTTCTTTGAAAGGAGAATTTCTCAGGTCCTTCGTCAGAGCAGTCTCTTTAACAGGACTTGGTTGGTTCATGAATTGTATAGCATGGTATATAGCCATAATGTATAGCTGTATAGCTATACCCCCGGGTCATGTACCACCGGTCCTCCAGCAAAATGGGTGGCACTGACCCCTCGGACCTTCCGAAGTTCGGACGTCACATGCCGTGGACTTCGGTCCAGGCAGAGTGGTGTGAAAAGCATCAGCCAGACGAATGAAGCCTTTTGTGCTCTCAAGGCGCGCACGGTCGACCGAGGTCGCGCGTGGGGCCGGGGGGGACTGAAAGGACGATTTGGAGGCTTCAAGTGATAGAGATCCTTGCCCTGAAATGAGCGGTGATTCCCGGTTTCGAATAAAATACCAAAAAGCACACGTGTCATGAGGTTCACACACTTTTCGTCATCAGGCAAAGGACATTGGCCACCTTGTTCTGCACGACATGCAAAAAGGAAATGGATCTGTTCTTCGTGCCCGTCTTCCTGTGCCAGGAGAATGGTGACGTCTACGCCTGGGGCCAGCCGAACTTCGGCGGAGAGATTCCCAGCGGTGCGGGACTCGGCATCGGGTCCAGGCATGGCGCAGCGCAAAAAGAGAAACCCTGGGAGTCAAAGACTACAAAAAGAATGGTCTTTAGGGGAACTGAAAGGGAACATCCTTTACTTCAGCTGGTCAAAATATAGTCGAACTGGACTTCTTCGGGAAAAGAAAGAACACCCCTCTGCTCCGTTCGTAGCGAACCTTGTTCCGTTCTTAGCAAGGCCAGGAGCCCCTACTTCGTCGCGTCGCTTCTCGCTCGGGGGTCCGTAGCGTCCGATCGGTCCTAACACGTCCACCGGTTAGCACTTAGCCGGATGGAGATCGTGGAGATGCGTCAGAGGTGAAGAACAGACCTTGGGATGTTTGGATGTTGAAAGGATCCTGGGAAAATTGGAAGGTGACCCAGAATCAATGATTTGATCAAGTATTGCAGGTGTGATTCTTTGCCCTGTATTCAATACTAATACATTTATTGATATTCTGTGGTTCATTTGCTGCAAATCATCGTATGCAAACAACAACCACACAGGATGCGCCTTGATATGCCTTGATAATGCATCTTAGGGTGGGTAGAAATGCATTTCAGGTTTTGCGCTTGCCACCAGTCTCGTACCTGTTTCGCCAGCTTCTACTGCCAATGTGTTCGACTCGCGCGGCTTGAGTGGGTTTCCAGGAACCCACATATCTAATCCATTCATCGATGTCGATGTGGTGTTTCGTGCTGTTCTGCGGTACAAGATAAGTGTCTGAACCTGCCCCACCTAGCCTTCCAATGGGTAAAGCAATACGAAATCCATGCCTCTTGGTGCTCTAGTCATCTCTAGTCAACTGTATTTTTTCAAGAGCCGACTGGACTCTCAGGGTCAAGATTTGCCAGAAAACTGAGAAATCAGTTCCAATCTCGGCCAGACAAAGACGCATTCTGCAGAGGGAATATATTGTTTCCCCGGTTCCATAAGTGAAGTAGATCCCTGGTGGTTCAAAAACCTACATCGGGTCACCCCCCATGCTAAACAGGCGGATCATGTCTGCTTCGCAGCCTGCTTCAGGCCTCCATGAAAAGCTGAAGGACGTGATCTCCGTGAGTGGCACCTTCAACTTACACGGTGCCTCCGTACCGCTTCCATGGGACGGATCGTACGCTGCGTCCGGTGGATCGTACGTCCCACCTGCCGGTCCACCTTCCAGAGGGGAGAAGTGATGGGGACACCCCGCCGTTTCACCTGTTCACAGGTAGAAAGTGTAGGTTAGCGCTGATGGTGAGTCCAGTGAAACTGAAGGAGTCGGTGTATGGAATAGATACACGCTAAGTCGTAGATAGGTACGGTACATGCGCGTAACTATTCCATACATGGATGGTCCGGGTTTGGAAAATGTAGACTCTTGATGAAAACCCATATGAGAATCCAAATTGGGGTTTTCCCTCGGGCCATATCAAGTGTGAATGTTGTGCGCAGGTCGGGAGTGCGAGAGCCAAGAGTGGCTGAGGGGGTGACCTCCAGCGAAGAGGCGGCCGCCACAGCGAAGAAGATGAAGGCGGCAGAGCTGAGAAAGGAGTTGGAAGAGAAAGTTGTTTCAGTGACGAAGACGATGAGGAAGGCTGAAATGCAGTCGCTGCTGAACGATCTGAACGCCGGAAACGAGGAGAACCCTGCAGGACGGGACGCACAAGTGCCCTTACTTTGGCGTGGATTTGCAAGTATGGACCGATGCAAGGTCGGTGTCGGAGTTGGCCAGGATGGAGGAAACGGCCAGGATCTGAAAGCAGAGGCCATGTGGGAGCTATTTTTTGGCTCGCCCAGCATCGCCCTATCTGCCGCGGCCCTGATCCGGCCAATAGGACCTGTAAATATTGCCCGGTCGTTTTCGATTCTGCGCAGGCCCGGAAAAACCATGAGCGCTATACGCACTCCCAACAAGCACTAGCTGACGGCCATACTAGTGCCATTCCCAAAGGTAGCCAACAGCACCCTTAGGGATGATTAGTTCTGACTCGCTTTCCGGGTCCCACGTTCCTTGGATCCTCCCACCGGCAGAATCTGGGGCCGACTCCGAAGTCCATGCCTGCAGCTCACCGCCGATCCTTTTTTTGGGCGCCAGTGTAGGCCAGAACTTATTGTTAGAGTTCATTGCTCTTTGGAGTGGGTTTGCTGTCTGGCATTGGCTTACTTTATTGGCATTGCTATCTCAAGGCAAATCAAATTCTTTTCGCCAGGCGCCGTGCAACCCTGGCCCAGAGGGCTTCTCGCTGCTCCGTGCTTAAAAAGGTTTACCTTGCCCGTAGCCATGAAGCCTCAACTGAGCCTACTGCTACTGTTTTTGCCGTTCTGCCCTGCCTTGCACTCATGGCTGCTTCCGGACGCCCGGTCATCAAAAAGGAACTTAAAGAGGTCACCGACAGGGTCACCGCTCTGGAGCAACACGTCGATCGGGTGGAAACAACCGTGGAGCTCGCAGAAGCCTACCGCCGTCTTCGGTGTGAACATTGTCCTGCTTTGGTCGCTCTGTGGGCCAGCTTTAAAAACAAAGAGCTCGAAGCAAAGGAGCTCCGCTCCCGCGTGGCCAGGTGTCTCGACACAGAGGTCAGAAAACAATTTTCACCAAGGAACTCACCGACGATGCTCTACAAACCACAAGCCAGAATCTGTCCCACTTGCAAATGCCTTCCAGCTGGGTCCCCACCTCGAGTGGGTCTCCCGCGACCGCGCCGGCGGCCTCCAGCTCATTTTACAACGTGGCGAACCAACCCGGCTGTTCACCGCAACAGTGGTCTCCGACCTTAATTGGGCCCTCTATGTAGCTGGGATCCAACTCTATATGGATCGCGGCCCAAAAATTCGCGCGAAAGGGAAAGGACAACGTGGTAAAGGCAAAGGCAAGGATTCCCAACGACGCGGCAAAGGCAAAGGCAAAGGCAAACCACGCGCCGACCAAGATGATTGAGGTCCCGCCTTCATTGCTTTCAGATCTTTTACACAGTGCCATTTTGTGTCTTCCCCCGCTCTATACTATGATCCGGTATCTCGGTCCGTTTCTCGTCCCGACACATGCCGTAAGGTCACCAATCCTTCAGGGGTACGTCCCCGGATTGGTAGGTGTCAAGTAGGCTACGTGCCGCTTGATGTAGGTTCGGCTTGTGGGATCCCCTGAGAGTTTTCCTTTCCCTCCCCGGTTATATGCACAACCATCCACGAGCGTGTTGGTTCCCCCTTCCCATACACTCGCTGGACGTCGCACTCATAAGACAATCAATGCACTTGCGCGTCCACACGACGTTAAATCAGGCCGTCAACACGATGAACCCACAGACCCATGCGTAGCAAGGGCGGCACGGGCGGTGGTTCTTCGCCAAGCCGACGTACGTGACCCCACAAGCCATGACCTTGACCATTACCGCTGGTGGACACTGCCCAGCAGACAGACAATCAATAGGGCCGAGTTATTTGCATTCGTAATCGCTACAGAACATGCAATTTGTTTTGCACTGCAGACACGTGTCAGTCTGTGTACCGACTCCCATTTTGTCATCTTCAATATCATTGAGGCTATCGAATCGCGCGCTATACATCATCATCCCCAATGGGATTTGATCCAACGTCTTATGCATATTTGAGGCCGGCTAAGAATGCAGCTTTAAAAATCAGTTCTCATAGAGAGTATGGCGACGCTAAATCTATGGAAGATCTGTGGAATATTCATGACAACGCAGCAACGCATGTGCCGATAAGACCGCTGTACAAACAAGGAAACTGACCTACCAGAATTCTCCCGTCTTTGTCAAGAAGTTAGGAAACATTATAGGAATGAAAAGCAAACCTATGCGAAAGTTTATGCTTACCTACTTGAACTGGCCTATACACGCACGAACTTTGAAGACACATCCCCGGATAACCCAGTCAGAAGCACACGTGCCGATTCAAGTGGCCCACATCACCATCTTAAGGAGCAGATTCGCAAATTTACCGCATGGTCAATAGGTACGCAAGTCTATCCACAACCAGGTGTACCCCACCAAGTCGTCTGGTTGATATTACGCGCTTGGTCTGGGTTTTCTGCAATCAGATTCAATGGCCATGTCCGGCATCACCCGAACACCCGGACGACCCAGGTATTACACGGACCAAATTAGCACTATCCTTCACGCAATGGTCTCAGCGTTATCCACCAATAAAGATTTGCGCTGGCAAAATTTGGCACGCATACGATGAAAACAGATGCAAAGATGCAATTGTGATACCGCTCAAAAACCATTCATTAAGGGTGGTCTCAGAATCCTTTAGGTATATGGTTAAGCACATACACACCTTTTCTTCCACAAAGCTCATTCCAACCTATGCACTGCAAGGTGCTACATGTTTAACCTGCTTAAAATTTGCTATGGATCAGCGCTGCAGAATTCTCGGAGACCCAAATTGCCAAATGCAACTGAGGTTTACAAATGGTTACAAGATTTTGCCCCTCCCTCACAACCCTCCGTGTCATACGGAGATCGACATCCCTACTATTCCTGCCACAGCACCGAAGCCAGAATGGCCAGCGTGGCCTGAAATTAGTCTTCCACAAAGAGAGAGTTTTTTCTCGCATGGTGCGCAACCACACGGAAGAAAAGTTTGGCTTTAATTCGCCATCCTGAAATCAATTCTGTGCTTTGCTGGAAATTTGACCCGTCATTTTGTGCTTGGTATTCTTGCTGTCGCGGCCACACAGTGCCTTCACATGCGTTCCTTTGTCCTTGCACGCTGTAGTTGTTCGTAGTGTACATAGGCAGCTGATTTTCACGTGTCACACAAGACCTAGCCATGCCCACCTGCACCCGCCCCACCCGTGAGCAAGGGACGGTTGTTGGGAGCGTGCCCGCAAGTCCGTGCATCCAAATTGCGACAGTTTTTTAAAGACATTTTGTCGTCCTTGCATCAAACAACTTACTGTATATTGTATCGCAAGCAACTGTCTTGAGTTCAAGCTTCTGACGCGAGTTGATTGTGATTATGGAGCAGCCTAACCCAGAAGTGGTTTGCACGTTCATCTTGAGCCTCATAGCTTCCTTGGCTTCTTTCCTGGGAAAAAATAGCTTCGCTGGTTGGCACATCATGTGTATGAGTTGGCGAATGCTACAGCAGAAACCACTGCGAACATTGACACCACTACCAATGCCCCATCCACAAGTCCTGGACCAGGTCAAGCTGCGTCTTGGAGAAACACATCATCCCATGGGAAAATGGGTGGATGTGGTCCAGGGGATGCACAACATCAGGGGGGTGCCATGCCCTTGGGGGCTGCGCCTACAATGCGTGGATAAAAGGTTGAGCGTGGTCAGGCTGTGTTTTGCACACAGCAATGTCCAACTTGCAACAAGGTGTGCTCAAAGTCCATGACAGAAAACAAACTTTACCACAACAACCATTCGTGTCCGCAATGCAAGATGTCATGGAAACAGAGGTGACTTCCAAGAGGAGAAACGTCACATTACCAATTTGCAAATATGTGAAGATTTAAAAAAGAGAGGAGGGTAGTTTTTGGAAATCTTGAAATTCGCTCGTCCTCTGTGCAAAAAAGTGTGTGTTTTGTCTGTATGCATTTCGTCCATTCACTTTGTTATTGTCGTTCCCTGCTCATTGCTCTGACTGTACGCGCTGTTCAGTGCTCACATATATATACATTTACATTCAAATCTCCCAGCTATCACGGTCAATTGATTGAAAACGTCACATAATTGTTGGCATGCTAGAAATTATTTGGACAACCACATTCTCTTCTGCGCGTGTTGACGCCATGGCAGACTGGGTAAGAGATCCTTTCAAACCAGAGTTGGAAATCATTGTTGCGAGACCTTCAACAGCCAAAACTCCGGCGATTTCGAAACAAAATCTTACAAATGGTCTTCAATGGTCGGAACCGACTTCCGATTCGATTGAGATTGGAAAAGGTCCTTTTCAGGTTACAGTAGATGAAGCACTGCTGAGAACACTGGCTCGGGAAGTATCACTGACTGCGGTCTTAGAACACTTCGTTCGGGGAGAAGGCGTTGCAGCATACACACAGAGGCTCAAGATGGAACTTGCGATCAGGCCTTTGCGTGTGGCGATGTCAGAAACTACAGGAATCGTAAGGAGTGGAAAGCAGACGGGCCATCGTGGACAACAGCATTTCAGAGCGACTCTGTCAGCTCTAAGGTCATTTCGAGCTGGTCGATGGTCTTATCCACGCTTGATGAACAGTTGAAGTCGCCGTTCAGCAACACATTGCTGGGATACGGAAGGCAGACATTGGTGGCAAAGTCTGCTCCGGACAGTCAGGCTCATTGCAAGACTAGCTTCAGTAGCATTGGCAGCTGAATGTCTGGTTGGGACGAATCAAGCGGAATTGACTATCCGCACAAGTGTGCCAACAGGAACTGTGAACGTCGCCACATTCCCCGGTTTCATGAACGCAGTGGAACGAGACATGTTGGGGCAGACTATTAATCCTGCGCTCATGGCCTGCGAAAGCATCGACCGAGATGCTTGGTCTCTTCTTTGTCTCATCGGCGGTGGAGTTCTCACGCTGTCCACTGATCCGACATCATCTCAGGCACTTCCAACAATGTGTTAGTCTGGCATGCGCACGCCCATGATGATGACAAGGTAAGGCTTCTGCCCCTTAAAAACCGTTCCTTACGTGTTATCTCAGAATCTTTTCGATATATCGTAAAACATATCCAGACGTTCTCCTCATCTAAATTAAGCCTACGTACGCACAACCAGGCGCAACAAGCCTTACACGCCTTGGGTTCGCAATGGACCAACGACGCGGAATCGCTAGGAGACCCACACTCCCATATGCAACAGAAGTATATGCTTGGATACAAGGAACCTTACTCACGCTCCCACACAATCCACCGTATCATACGGATATCGAACTCTCCATGGTTCCATCCACTGCACCCAAGCCTGACTGGCCTGACTGGCCTGAAGTTAATCTTCACAAAAGGGAAAATGTCTCACGCTTGGTGCGCAATCACATGGCCAGAAAGAAGAGTTTCGACCTCATCAATCACCCAGGAGTCATTTAGTTGCGCCTTCTGAATTTCCATGCCTGTTTTTGTTCGTCTTGCATTCGTAGAGTGTTTCTTTCGTAGTGTACATAGGTGTTGGTTTTTCATACGTGTCACCCCAGACTTAGCCATGCCCACCCGCGCCCGCTACACCTGTTAGCAAGGGATGGCTAGTGGGAGCGTTTGACCGCAAGTGCGCGCATCCAAATTGTGGTGTTTGATCAATCAAGAGTCCACATTACTGGATAGGCATGACTGTTTCAGCATCACCGTTGTCAGCTCCTCAACGGGTCAGTTCCTTTCTTGTGTCCGGAGGGGAAGCCCATCATGTCCACTGTTGAGTATTTTTCCCAGTGGAACCCAAACCAGGCACCAAGTAGGGCTAGGAACCGGATCCGGGGCTCGTTCCCTTTGCTCTCCGTGTTTGAGTCGTCGTTCCGTTTGATCACCACTGGTGAACAGCAAACGTTCGTGGTTTACCTTGGTCCACTGGGTTTGAGCCATCAGCTTTCTCGATCTTGCTTGGTCTTAGTCCTTCCAAGTAGGATGAAGGAAAATTGCCAAACAAAAAACAAAAAGAAAGCCCTCCGAAAAGAAACTTCAACTGGACTCATGCGAAGGAATGCTGCTTCAAACGATTCAGAGATCTGGTTTGCAGCAGTTCTGTGAACCCTTTAATCCAAATGTTTGATCATGTCAACTGCTGATAGAACCAAAAGACCTTCCAGGCGAGTCGTCTACCCCCAGCTAAAGCTCTCTGGTACAAAGTTTCAGCGACCCGTTGATGGGGGGGGTTGGGTCTATCATAACGGTGGAGGATGATGGGACCTGGTTGCAGGCCTTTCCATCTCTAAAATCGTGATGTTCTTGTGAAACCTGACTGACTGTTAGAGGTTTACTGGAACACCCCCACACCAATAGGGATGGATCTCAGTACCCCCCTCCATGGATCCTGACTCTTATAGTTCCGATCGCATGCGCTAAAAGCAAAAGTTCAAAACCTGGGTAGGGCGTTCAAACATAGACACTCCATCTCCATGTGTGGAATATTTACTGTATACCTACATTTACCCGAAATCAACCACCTGATCTCTGATCGGCCAATATGCCAGTCACAGGTCGTGTTTGGGTATAGCTACTAGGGGCTCCTTGCATTGCTACTAGGAGCATTCTTACTACTAGTAGCAAGAAGCTTTCATGTTTGCTTGTCTTCATCGAAAAGCAGCGCGTGATTGGGCAGGTGGCGCCTTCGCCGCGCTCACCAGCGCTGGGGCTGTGATGACCTGGGGCCTGGATGCAGTGGGTGCCTTGGATGTCAGTAAGTGAGCTACTAACAAGGGCATTACTACCACTGGAAGTAATGCACTTGTTGTCTCCGGTGCGGATGTCAGTCTCTCGTACCGGCCAGTAGGCTCTTCGTGGCGTGGCGGACGGGTTTCCGGTGGGGACGAGGAAGCCAAGCTGGGACTCCCTCCCAGAGCTCGCTCCCTCCGAGGGACGGGAAAGTCCAAGTGCCTGGTTTTGGGGAAGTCACTGTTGCTAAGGTACAGGTAGTGGAGGGTCCAAACCATGGTTTCAGTTGACATCCCGAACACGGAATCGATTCAAATTTGACCCGGGGTCGGGGTCAAGTGCCCAGGTGCCACCCACGGCCACATGACATGATGCATGATCCTCTTTTGAAACCTCGCAGATGTTCCAATTGTCTGAACTCTCAAACGTAGGAAGTAGGCAGAGAGCTACTAGTAGCTTGCCCCGTTCCTGGTAGCGATGCCCTTTGTTCCTTGTACCGATGCCCCGTTCGGTTCGCATCCTTGCACCTAGTCCATCGGCCCATGCTCTTCCTTAGGCGGCGACTCCAGTGCCGTGGCCGAGCAACTCCAAAGTGGCGTGTGCTCCGTGATCTGCAGCGCGGCGAGTGTTACGCACGGCGTGTTTGGTGAACGTTGGTGAACGTTGGTCGGGTAGTGAACTGGGAGAGGATCCTGAAAAACCCTCTGTTGCCCTACCACCTCCGGTGCGGTATGACTGAACCCTCCTGGCACCCGGGCACCGGTCGTCCCACCGTACCGAAGCGGTTCGGTACGACTGGAGGCCAATCGGGTTTGTGATTGACTTTGACCTCCAACTTTCGAAGAAGCATTCGCCTCACCAAGAGCTGGAAGGGTACGCTCTGGGTCCATCACTCGGCTTCTTTTCCATCCCAGGGTCCCTGACTGGTGGAATCATATGGAGTCACATCGATCATCCATCCCTCCAAGTCCGCAATCCAACGTTGGTTCCGCAAGAAACCCGCCACCGGTGCCCCATCCGGGCTTGCCTCGGAAAAACCAAAGCCCGGCGCTCACGATTTCCTCCACGTTCTGCACCCACACACCCCGCGCGACGTGGGTTGCGGCGAGGTGGTGGCTGTGCCTTTGCAGCGTTGAAGGAAGGTGGCACAGTGGTCACTTGGGGCGATCCTCACAGGCCGCCCAGGTTTCCGTGGTGAGTGCGGTCGATGGTCGGTGGTCGGTGGGGGGTGCGGGTATTTGGAGTCCAAAAGCTCTATTTCTAGAAGGGTATTTGATGGCTGGGCACAAGGGAAGGAGGAGTCCAGTCAACTCTATAAAGAAGGGTTTTTGTTGGTAGCTGATTTCAGGTTGGGAACCTCCTACTTGGAGGTGAAAGGATCGTCGACTTGAGGCTCGACCCGGCCGTACTGGTCGACAGGTCGATAGGTCGGTCGCAGGTCCACGCGATGGGACCATTCTGATGATGTTGCCTTGGAAATGCCTGGAACCACCAGGACCCTCCAAGGGGTGTCTATTGATAGGCCCCTTAGAGGTGAAGGGGTCATTCGCCACCCTGACAGTGGGTCCTAGTAGAAGTGACCCTTTTTAGGCGACGCCTGTGGCCTTCTGCTCTTGAGACAAAACCCTTGCCATGCCGAACAGCTCTCAATGACGCTTGCTGTTCGGCGCAGACCATGTTTGACCTACGCAGAGGTGAAGGTTTGGATGTTTGCATCAATGAGGACTGGTTAAAACTAAATGGGTGTGTATTGAAATAGGGAGACCTCCCAGTTCGACCCCTGGAAGGAAAAACTAGACCAAAAGCGATTGCGCCAGGGGGTCTCACTATAGGTGTGGTATGGTCACACGTGTCAAAACCCGGACCCTCGACATGATCGAGAAACGCTGTTCTGTGCCGAATGGATCCTGACGTAGTACCAGCATGTTTTTCGTTGTTTGATGCGTCATATGCAAACGCATGCTGTATTCATTGAGGCCACTAGGGGAATGAGGTCCGAGCACGCAAAAAAAACGTTCACCTTCTGGAGAGCACAGACAGACAGGGCAGACTGGGGGCATCTGTTATTTTTTGGCCGTGAGGTATGCAGTTTGAGTTTGTTTTGTGAACAAGGGGAAGAGAATGCCAATGCAGATGTTTGCAGATGTTTCCATGTCTCTTTGGGCCGGTTTTTTGCTAGATCGGACGCACCCAAAGGATTTCCAGCGGAGCCAAGCTGCGCACCAACAGGTTCAGCCTTCCCCGCAAGTTCTGCGCAGGGGTGGAAAGAAGGAAGTCACCTGGGCCGATGATGAATCTGAAGATGAGGAGGAGGAGAGCCTTGGCTTTTGAAACATGGAAACAAAAGACGCACGGAACATGAGTCGTTTTAGAGGGTTTGGGACCGTCTTTGCGAAATGCAAGGAAAACACCCTTCCCGGGATGTGTCTATCGATAGGCTCCCCTTCCGGCCACTGAGGTGCAGTGACGATGGCCACTTGTCCTGCAGGGCATGTTCCACAGGTCAAACTGGGTGGAACCCAGCGATGGCCCTCTCCGGTCCCACCGTGCAGACCGATTTGGGTTTCCAAACCGCGCCCAAAAAGCACGGTTTGGTCGAACTAGAGGGAGTTTGCTAGACAAGCATAACTAACAAAGGTCTGCATGGCCATGGGTCAAAACTGGGGAACCTTGTTGTTTTTTCACCCGAAAATGAAGAGACTAGGCTTGGTCAATCTACCAGGGTGAGTTCCGGGCAAGGGTGCCACCCACAGCGCCACTACCCAATGCACCTTTCCGAACGCAGTGACATGCCGAACGCGTGCCACTCCTGCGCGCGATCCCCCCCCACCGTTCGCCCACCGTGTTGGGGTCCGGAAAACCCCTCCGACCGTCCGACCTCGACGGTTCCGGATGGGATGAACAGATCCGCACTCGACCGTCCGGGTGCCCTTGGTTCGGTCAGACCGGACCCTTTCGCGGAGGCGAGCGACCGCGGTGGTCCGAGAAAGGACGGTTGGTTGGGGACCAACTCACGGAGACCAACGTGATCAAAACAGTTTGGCTCGGGCATTCTTTCGCCGAACGAATCTTCGAACGACCTCTGAGCTTCGCTTCCAGAAACTACATCGAGAGTGGCACAAAAAGATCCGTGCGCCTGGTATTCTGTTTTCATGGGATGTGATGCACTCTGCCAACACTCCAGGGCTCTTCCAGTGCCATAGAAGAGGTTCCGTTGTGCCCCCAACATGACCCATTGCCTCGCTTGGCGATGAAACGGTTGAGACATTGATGACACCACCACACCCTCGCTCCAAAAACGACCACGACACGACCCGCCCAGGAGAGGGGTCTGAATCTGAAGAGAAGCATGATCCTTACTCTGTGGAAGAACCTGGTCATAACCATCCGACGTGTTCAGAACGGTGTGAAGCGAAGCGGAGCATCAAAGGCCCTAAGGCGGCAGTACCCAGTTCTGGCCGTTAGGGGAACCTTGACACGGGGATGGGTGACATGTGTATGGTTTCTTTCGTGTGTTTCTTTCGGCCTGGCGGCCTGGTCGTTCACTGCCAATGCCAGGCCACGACGATGTAAGCGTTCTCCCTAGGAGCCGAAGGAACAGAAGAGCTGTTTTCTGTCAGGATGTTGGAGTATCAAACTAGGTCCGCTTCCATCTCTGGGATGGTTTTTTTGGGGGGGGTCTGGACGGTGCCTTTGGACCCACCTTTTTACGACCCGGACCGGGTCAAGCACCGTCACTGCATGACACGCTGCCGTACGCTGCCAGGCATCACACCGTGGAACGCTCGAATGGATGGAGCCTGTTGACCGGGCATAGACCGAATCAACACCTAGCGGTGCTGGGGGCGATGTCAGGACATCACTACTAGTAGCTGATTAGCTCGTTTCGCCCATCAACAAGAGTATCCTCACTACCATACATGACCAGAACTCCTCTGGATTGAAAAGGGCTCAAGACCAGGTCTCAGTTGGTGACTTGCCACGGTGCTGGTATAGATATTCCATGCACGGAGTGTTTGGGCATCATTTGCCTGTTCTGTTTGTGCTGCAGATTCTCAACCAAAAACCTGGAATACTGCTAAGATTTGCTAAGAGAACTTCACAAAGACAGAAATACAACACGTTTGAGACGTGAAACAGAACCCACCCTCTATGATTCAGCGATTACATCCCAAAAAGAGACCCCAGAAATGCCAACAAAACCTGGACGTGACTTCGTTCGTACCTTCGAAAATGGGAACATGCCGCACATGCCCAAAACCAGGTACGACTGGGTTCCGAGGTACGAAGGGGTCGAGTCCTGCAGGTGGGGCGCCCGCATAGTACCGCCGATATCGCTCCCTAAACCCCGCACGGGACGACGCCATGCGGGCTGATGGTGGCAGAACTTTGTACTTCAAAGCGAAGAAGACGGTGCTTTCAGAAATGTTCAACCGGGGTCCCTAAACCCTGAACCTGATTTCATCGAACTCGATGTCTTCTTTCGTGAGAAACCGTCCGGGATCTCTGGGGGCGGAGCGCCCATCTGCCGAGGATCAGCTCTCCAGCGGTGTCAAGTCCATCATTGGCTCCGACGATGTCTTCGCGGCCCTCAAGGACGAAAGTGGTTCAACCGAACGGCAGCGGCAGCGGAGAAAGCGGTTCCCTCCAGCGACGCGACACAGTTGCGGCGGGTTCGGGGAACCCCCCGGGGTGTCGGCTGTTCTTCCAAGATGATGGCTTCGATGGATTCAGAAAGCCACACAAGAACCGACCTTTTGTGAGGCTTCGAAAAGATATTCAAAAATTAGCCCAGCTGGAGACCCCAATAGCAAGATACAAACCGGGACAAAAAGAAAAAATCTGGAAACAGCTGCTGTTTTCAACACATCGACCATCTCTTCCTTGGACACCATCATCACATAACCGGGACACCATCACAAAATGACCAGGGCACCATCAAAACATGACCGAGACACCGTCACAACATGATTGGGACACCATCACAAGGTGACCGGGACACCAGCATGACATGACGGGGACACCATCACAACATGACCGGGA